TCTTCCAGTCACTTAGAGTGGAAAACCTCACCAGTATATTTCACTACCACTCCCTCAATCCAAGTATCACTCAGTCCTTTATTCTCCTATCAACAAGGAAAAAGCCACATGAAGATGACAAGTGATCTTCTTGGAGCAGTGGGAAGGCTCATGGGGGGGGAACTTACTTTTCTGTGAGCACTCTGGGTAGAGTTGTTGGGTGGGGTTTCTTGTAGAGAGAAGAGTATTATGTGACTCAAGGTCTGTCTACAAAAGGCTTATAAAGGGAGTAATGCTGGGGCCAAGACTGTCTATCTTGTGCTCTCTCCATTTGGGAGCTAACAAGCACCCAGAGTCCCTAAAAATTACCCTCTTCCTCCAGGGATTGTACCCAAGAAGCCCAAGGCAGACAAAACACCACACTCCTTAAGGGATTTTCTCATCTGCCTAGTATTTTGGACTCTATTAAAGAAACATTAGATTTTTAACAACACTGCAGGCTTCTAATGTCTCTGAGAAAGGAAGAAAGATATAGTCACCATATTATAGATGGGAAAAATGAGACCCAGGAGGCTTAGCTGACTTGCCAAGGTCAGAGAATGGGTCCATGGTGGAGCTCAGGCTGGGCCCCATATAAGCTGATTCTGGTACTTTTTCGCATTAACTTTTTTTTATTATTATTAGTTTCAGGTGTACAAAACAATGCGCCAGTTACACATTTCACCCCTCACAAAGTAATAACTCCCCTTCCCCAATCTATTGCCCTTCTGACATCATATTCATTAACTTTTCATATTGGAGTTTTTAAGGTATATAGATCTTTAAAAAGTTATGTTACTAAGGAATAACTTTAATTGTCACGTCCTCTTGATTACTTCCTCTAATGCTTTCATCTAATTCAAAATCACAAAGATGTTTTTCCTATTTTTTAAAAGAAGCTTTATAGTTTTAACTCTTATGCTTAGATCTAGGACCTATTTTTAGTTATTTTTTTAATATGGAGCAAGATAAGAGTTGAGGATTTTTTTTTCCATGTAGAGGTACAGTTGTTTCAGCATCATGTGTGAAAAAGACTATCCTTTTTCTATTGAATTAACTTGGCAGCTTTGACAAAAGTCAACTGACCATATTATTGTGGGTCTACTTCTGGACTCTATTCTATTCCATTGATCTATATGTTTATTCTTATACTAATGCACACTGTCTTGATTATTGTAGTTTAATAGTAAGTCTTGAAATCAGGTAGCTTAAGTCACCCAAATTCGTTATTATTTTTCAAAATTATTTTGGCTATTCTAAATCCTTTGTTTTCTCATATAAAATTTAAAATCAGCTTGCCAATTTCTATAAAACATATGCCAATATCTATAGATAAATTTGGAAGAATTAACATATTAACAAGACTGAGTCTTCTTATCCACGAACATGACATATCGCTTTCTGTATTTCTCTCAGCAATGTCTTATAGTTTTCAGTGTATAGGTCTTACACATATTTTGTTTAATTTATGCCTATTTCATGTTTTGTAATGCATTGTAAATGGTATTGATTTAATATCAATTTTCATTGTTTGTTATTTAGTTATATTAAAATCATATATTTTATATTAAAATATGATTGATTTTTCTATACTCTGTATCAGATACTCTGCATTGACCTTATATACTCTGACCTTACTAAATTCACTTAATAGTTCTAGTAGCTTCTTGTAGATTGTTTGAGATTTTCAACAAAGAAGATCATGTCATCATGAATAAGAAGAGTTTTACATTCTCCTCTTTTGTTTGAATCTGTATGATTTTTAGTTTTCTTGCCTTACTCTGCTGGCTAGAACCTCCAACACAATGTTAAATAGAAGATGTGAATACCAACATCCTTGCTTTGCTCCTGATCTCAGGGGGAATACATTCAGTCTTTCTTCATTAACTATGATGTTATCTCTAAGTTCTTTGTAGATATTCTTTATCAAGCTGTTCGAGTTACCTTCTATTCGTAGTTTCATGTGAGGTTTCATCACAAATGAATGTTGAATTTTGCCAAATGCTTTTTCTGAATATATTGAGATGATCAAATGTTTTTTCATGTTTGGTCAGCTGACATGATGAATTAAATTGCTTGATTTTAGAATGATGGACTGATTTATGTTACTATAAATCTGTTTCTTAAAACAAGACAGTGATTCATCCCATTAGTATTACTTGAGTACCTTTTATGTGTTAGTAGAAATTTCTTGTATTGTGAGTTTAGAGTTCAGATAGAACAAGAAAATTCTAGGAAATAAGCATACATTAGATGTAAAATCTTTTTCAATAGTGTCAAATGTCCCAAAATTTAGAACATCAGACGTCTAGATCAGGAATGACAAACTCAAATGCCTAAAAGGTCCAGGAAAATGATGTGGTCAGTTGGAAGACTTTGGCATCCAACAATTCCCTCAACCTCTACCAGCTGCTCTGAAACAAACTGTAAATTTGTTAAAGGAACAAAAATTTCTTGGTTCATATTTGCATTTTATTCAGTTTTTTTTCCTGCCACACTGACCTTCTTTTTCTTTTTTTTTCTCTTCATTGCCCATTCCCCCACTCCACCTTACACACACCCTTCCTCATTGAAATCATTTAACTTTTGTGAGGCAGTGAAGATGTAGGCTGCCTAGGTTCAAATCCCAGCTCTGATGTTCATCAGCTGTATGACTTTGAGCAAGTTACTTAGCCTCTCTGAGATTCCATTTTCTAATCTGTAATTCATAAATTTGTGGGTTCTTCATGGGGTTGTTATGAGGATTACATGAGTTAATAGATGTCAGTCACTTAGAACACATGTAACATTTGAAATTTAAGGGGAAAGATTGTTTTCCTGAGACCAAAGTTCCAAGAAGAAAACTC